CGAAACACAGGATTTTTTTATTTCTCTTGCAGCAACTGAGGTGGCTCAGTATCCTACAGTAGAGTTTCATGCTCTATATCCCGATCCGGATAAATATCCCGTTTTGAATCAAAATATATCCCGATAAGAATAGCCAAAAAACATATATCCCAATCGGGATATAAATTCGACTTTTTTAAGTAAAATTCATTAGCAAAAAAATGATGATGTTCGCGGAAAGTTTTGACCAGACCACTCAAAAGAGCATAAAAAACTGCATCAGATTCTTTTTTCCTTGTGACCAATTCTTTTTTCTGGTCAGCAGCCTTTTTTCGATAATTTTCGAGGTTCATATTCTTTATCCCGATCAGAATATTTTACTTTTTTTACTAGCTATTTTAGCACTTTCTCGAAGTATCTTGACATTTTCTCTTACTCTGGGATACTTCTGCACAGGTCCGCCCAGTATTACATGAATTAAAAGCTGGGAAGGTTTAACTATAGGAAATCGATAGTACTACTAAAAGTATATAAGGGTCTCTGTCCTTCCTTGGAAAAGTCATTCCGATCATGGCTTTTCTGGACCATAAGTTATTTCAGCGGATTTCTAGAAAACTGTAAAACGAGTAATATTCGATAAAGCAGATAAGACCTTCCAGTCAAAACTTTTTATCGAAATGTCAGAGGAGAAAATCTCGTTTGCAGATAGGCAGATTGAACTTTGTATGCTCTTTCCAGCTATCAGTACGAGAACGCTTGAAAGTATTAGATAAAGTGGAGTTTCGCTATTCTGGCACCCCAAAACGGCACCCCAATTCACAACTTATGGTCGAACAAAACCGTGTTTGGAATGACTTTTCTCTGCAACTACAGGAGCCGTTACAAACTTTTAGTAGTACTGTCGATTGCATATAGTCAAACCTTCCCGGCTTTTAGTCGTGAATAAAGTGGGTGCAGCCATACGGAAAGACCCTCTGGACATACATATGGCGACATCCAGTGAAATATTCAGTGAAAGTCACGCTCGTCCAGCATGATTCGTCGTTCGTGCAGCGAAGTAAACAACATTGTTTACAAAAAAAGTTTTCGGACGAGCAAATTGCTTTCAAATGTTTAAAGTTTTAAAAATACTGAAGCGTTTTCATCACGTAAGTTCGGGTGGCTCATACGCCATGTTCTATATCATCTTTGCACTACAAGTGCCACATTAACTAGTTTTGGGCGGTTTTAAACTAGGACCCTACTGTAAGAAAACTGTAGCCCGATTGGGATATATGGCTCGATCGGAATATGATTCCTCACTGCTCTGCGGTTTGTCCACGTAACGCGATACTTCGCTGAACAAATTTTTTTGAATTTTGTTCATCAGAAAATCGATAATGGCACATCAGTAGATCGCAGCATCCCATGCTGATCACGAATCTGACTGTTTTTTGAAGAAAAAATTAATTGTCAATTTAAAATTTTAATTTACAATTTTTCAAGGCAATTTCAATTTTCTGACCCAGACATTTTGTTCAAAAAATTTTAAAAATGTACCATTCAATAGAGAATTCAATTCTCTACAAAATGGCTTATTTTGTTTTGAGATCTAATTTTCAGTCGAGACACAGGGGCTGCTTGAACGTTTCAACTTCCGCCTTGGTCTGAAAGCCTCAGCGAATTTTTCGAAATTTATTTTCAACTGGAGTATTTTCAGGAAACCTAGCCTTACACAGGGTATAAGTATGAAGTTTTTTTAGCAACACTTAGTGCCTAAAAATGGTGTGACAAAAGAGTGAGCACAGTGTTACTTTACGAAGTTGGCTTTTCTAAGCTAGCAAAAGGGTTTTGAAACAAAATTTTTACCAACGGAAAGCTCATCAGTTCCTCTACAAAGTTGGCACTAGAAATTTTCTCGTTACATATGTGCATTCGCTGGAAATTAGGGCTTTATCAGTAGTTCTCAAAATTTAGGGCCTTTTTATGTCGCAGCGTTACCGGTATAAAAAGGTTTTCTGGAAGCTCGAATCTTTAATCACGTCCATATACTCAAAGTTGAGTAAGAAGAGCCGCGCCGAATAGCGCAAAAACGGACTTTCTAGCGCTTATAGTTTTCGAGGAAACCTCAAATTACTGTGTCAAAAATGTCACAGCATTACCTTTCGACAAGCCGCCTGTTAGACACTGTCATGGGATTACCTGTCAGGACAATAAACTCCTTCACGATTCTTTTTAAGATTTTTTAAGACATTCCTCCTTTTAAGAGATTTTAACGCTTGTGCAATTCCCATGTGATACATGGATACATAAGTAATATTAAAAATATTTGTCAGGAAGTAATAGCAAGTCTAGGCTATCAAAGCAGAAGCAAATCGACAACTTCAAGTGTTACCTGTAATTTGGAAATCCTTTTATTGGTGTTGTAAGGCGGGGAAAATTCAAAATTTGAACAGAATTTTTTTCTAGCGACTTTTCTTTTGGGGATCCCCATAGTCCTCGAATAGTTTTCTTCTCGAAAACACTTGAGTAACACATGATCCGATCCAGTTTTGTCTGCTAATTTCAAATATGGCTTTGTTATCCATTGGAGATATATATGAAGTGAGCTAAATACAAAATAAGCGGTCTACCTCAGTGTTGAAAACCCATTTTTTTCTCTATAGGCTGATGTCTATAAATCGAGAAACTAATCAGACTTCAGTCAACTCTCCTTTTGACACATAATGGACCACTTTTACGTGCTAACTAGATAAGAGCATGTGTACTTCAAATCATCGGCTGCAGAACGAGATGATTTTGTTTAATTAAGGGGGATTCACCTGTTCACCTGCCTCACATGTCGAATATCGACTTCAGTTTACGTATGTTACTATAAACCAAGAACATTCTGAAGTAGTCAAATTTTGTTATCAATACTAATCTGTTATATTTGTTTAATAAAAGTTAAAAGATAAGTTGTCCTCGTTCTCCTTTTTTTTCTTTGTTTCTTATATAAAGTCGCAGGATCTTCTTTGAAATTCAGTTATTTTATTCTTTCTTCTTTCATTTAAAACAGCAGCAAAATTCGGTGTTTGATATTAATTGAAGGTATGTCGATAATTGGAAACGCAAAAGAATTAAACCTCCTTCCTGCCACTTACTGTCTCTTTGAAAAGCCATTATGATCTCGTTTATAGTTAAATCTCCTATTGTTCTCTTTTTTCGTCCAACAAAATACCCTAAGAAACGAAACGCAGTAAGAAAGTTTACGAGTAGGGACGTTCGGTTCTGGGTTCCGGTTCTTGATGCGGAACCGAAACGAAAGAAACCGCGGTTCTCGGTTCTCAGCTTACAACCTGAAAATAATTTTTTAGCCAGTAAGACTTCAATCAAACAGAATTCATTTCATAGTAAACGAGAGGATTCTTTTAACTGATGACAGGCAAATATATCTTTTTGTAGCTTTGTCAATAGTGTGTTTTTATTTTGTTAAAAGAAAGGCAGGTCAAACAGTCTCGCTTCCGAAAACAAGGAACCGTCTAAGAAACTGCGGTTCCTGTTCCATTGTGAGAACTGGCACCGCGGTTCCAATTCCAGATGAAGAACCGAAAATAAGAGAACCGATTCTGATTCAGTTTTCGACACGATTTTGGACCCAGTTAAGCTAGCTTCACCTCAAAAAGTTCAACCTATTGTTGGGCGGTTGGGGAGGTTATCACCTAGGTTAGCCGCCCACTTAACCAACTAGTCAGCTAGTTCCTGGTATCAGATTAAACACAAGGAGGTTATCAGCTGGGTGTTGCATCGTACTCGTCTTCCTTTCCTCACTTTTCCTCCTAAATTAAATTTGGGTGAGTCTATTGACACCACCAGGGGTATCAGCAATGGCTATTGATACCTCCAACCTCCAGTGCTGAAATAACCTAGCACCGGTCAGATACACTTTCGCCCGGTTTTTACGGTTAAATTTGCTTCTGAGCGCAACCATCCATTGTTCACCTATTCTGTTCTCGTACTCCTTTTGGTTGTCAGTAGATTACTCTGATGAATGTATTTGCATACAAGTACTTGCCCAAGTTTTGTCCAACGTAAGTTTACTTAGCTTCTTTCTAAAAAAAAGAGGGATGTCCAAGGACTGATAAGAGGAATTCTTCCAATTTATACTAACACGCGTAACATGTTGTAACAAGTAACATACGCCAAACACGCGTGTTTTACAACAGAATATTTGTCACTTCATTTTCCTAAAGAAAAGTTATCTGTATTAAACAACGATACATTAGAAACATTCGATATATGTGTATGTTACAGGCTATATTAAAATCCAGGTAGATTTTAAATTCGCCTAGACTAACTTAGGATAGAAAAAGATAAAAAAAGATGAAAGAATACAATAAGGATTATAATTTCAGTTACACTTATTAAATAAAAAAATATAAAGGTGGTCTACTATTCTGGCTTTTACGCCATAAGCTTCAGACTTTTTATTAATAGGTTTTCAAGAAGCCCTTTTCGAAAACCTTAGGGTACTTAAAATTTTGTTTTGAGATCTCCTATAAATAAGATGTACAATAGCTTAAATACTCTACATTCTGAACTTTTGAAGTCGTTCTGATGTTTTTTGAGTAATTTTTTAATAATAGGTGAAAACCGCCTGAAAACTCTAAAGTTTTCCAAAACTCGCTTTCCGGTAGATTCTCTCAAATCTGATAAAAGTATTTTTATCAGACTCATCTTTGAAACGCTTTGGTTTAAGAGAGTAGTAGTTAGAAATGCTTGAGAGAAAGATATGCGCTTATACTAATTCTTTTTCAATCAACAACGAATCTGATAAAAATACTTTTAAGTATTTACTTAAAGTTTCATACTTAAAAGTTCTTATTAAACACCATGAAGATTCTAGGGCGATTTACAAATTTTTTAATCACCTACATTGTTTCAACCATTTTGCCAAACTCAATTTGTACATTGCAGTTTTTCACTTCTAGAAGCTGCTGGAACCTTCCCGAATAGGTAGTTTTTCCCAGTTAGTTTCATACAGTCGATGCCTTCCTTCATAAATGTCCGTGCATTCGCGCACGTCCGCCCGCGTTAGGGAAGGGAAGGAGTATGAGGGCCGTAAAATTTTCAGATATCCAGCACTTTCTCTCTCTATAAGGTTTGACTCCTTGTTTTTTCCCCTTTCAGAATAATTCAATGAAGGAATTACACAAAAACACATTATACAATGAAAAACGCATAGGTGAATGTGCTAAAATGAAATAAGAACAAGAGAATAAAGGAGCAAGAACGGTCAGAATCTGGTCGTATCCTGTAAAAATAGAACGATACCATATCATCCTTTTTTAGCTGGAAAAACGGAAAAGATTGGAAATAACAGACATCGATCGTTGCTTTTGATTTTTTACTCTTTCGGCGTTTGGTACTTGTACTAAAACTTAGAAAGAGGCAATGAGGAAACTATTTTCATGAAACAGCGCAAGGGAATCTTAACCACGAAGCTTTTGACATCAAGAAAAAAAGAAAGCTTCGTAAATATCATTTCTAAACTTCTCGTATTGTTCTCGTTTTAGGTCGATTTCGATTATCCAAAAATGTCAAAATCAACAAAAGAATTACTAAAACTGGTCGAGAAGCGAGCAGGTGAGCATAATTCAGCTAGTGAAGCCTATAAGTTAATTCAACAAGGTGCTGATATTAAAACACAAAACAAAGATGGTCAATATATGATACAACTTGCCGTTGGCTATGAACAACGAAGTCGTCATGCTCAGTCTTATCAAGCCGATAATTGTAAACGTCTAATTCAAGTATTACAAAATCGTGCATCAGAATTACTAAGTACAACTGCGGCAGCTAATGGTGACGTGAACGAAATGCGCCTCCTAGTTCAATTAGGCGCTGATTGTTATCAAGCTGAACGTTGTGGTCAATTAGGTCTTTTAGGTTATATATTGAGACAAGATCAATATCCAGTTGCATTAAGTACAGTACAATTTTTCATTGAAAACGATCAACAAACAAAAGATTCTCTAACAAAAGTGAGTAGTCAAAAACAACAAACATTGATAACATTAGCGAGAAATAATAAGCAATGTGAACAAAATATTGTCGGTTATTTACAACAACAATTGGATATGATATTAAATAAAATACCAATTACCAATCCAACCGTTAATGTTAATGAAGTTGGTGATTGGATTCGCCATAACGGCGCAAATCCTGAATTCGTTGACGAAAATCGTAATACTGTATTAAGTAATGCGGTTTTAACTAATAATTTGGAATTAGTTAAAATACTAGTTGCAGCCGGATGTAACACGGCACATCAAAACGCCAATCGATTAACGCCATTACAAATAGCACAAAATACAACACCGAGAAATGCTCAGCTTGTCGCATTTTTATCTACGCAAGGGATCAATAGTAAATTAAAAGATTTGGTGGTTAAACGAAAAAATATGTTAACGGCTGATGAAGTTCAAGAATTGTTATCGAATGGTGCGAATATGAATTCATTACATGCAAATAATGATACTCTTTTACATTTATTAATTGCCAACAAAGGAACAGCTGAGCTCGTTAGTACATTCATTACTGAATTTGGTTCTGATATTAGTGCTATGAATGCCAATGGTCATCGACCAATTGAAACATGTGTATTATATGATGATAAACCCTATTCGGTCTTACAAACATTTTTAAAACT